TTATTAATAATTTTGATTACTAATATATCTGTTATCCCCCCGATCCTTTTCAGACTTATCGCGATCGCAAGACCTTGGAATACACCTGCCACACCGCGTTCTTCATATCGATTGTCGTGGTACAGTGGGCCGATTTGATCATTTGCAAGACGCGTCGCAACTCCATATTCCACCAGGGCATGCGCAACTGGGCCCTCAACTTTGGCCTCGTCTTCGAAACGGTGCTGGCTGCCTTCCTCTCCTACTGCCCCGGCATGGACAAGGGTCTGCGCATGTATCCCCTGAAGTGAGTGAAAGCACAATATGAATGCAAAAATGAATATACTAAACTGATATTATTTTTCGGCTATTGTTTATAGACTCGTCTGGTGGTTCCCAGCCATTCCATTCATGTTGGCCATCTTTGTGTATGATGAGACTCGTCGCTTCTATTTGCGTCGCAACCCCGGCGGCTGGTTGGAGCAGGAGACATACTATTAAACACTCACACATATACACATACACGTACACACACACACACACAATCCACACACACCCGCAGCAAAGGCAACAAATAGTAATTGTTTATTTAACACAACAACAACAAAGCAACAACCGCAACTTGCAACCAACAGCGAAACACACAGAACTCTGTGCAACAAAAGCTATAAAAAGAAACATATTGCAATATGTTTGAAATTTTAATTTAATTATTTAAAGTAAAAAAATACAAAAAAAAAACAAAAAACAAAAACAAAAACAAAATGCAAGCGATAATTATTTTAAACATTTAAGTACATTTAAATTATAAATTAAAGCTAAAAATAAGGTTTAAATAAAAACAAATAAAGTAAAAACTACAACAAAACGAACAACAAACAACTTTCGACAACAACAGCAACTGCAACTGCAACCAGCAACAACAACAATAACCTAACAAGTTTTTAGTAAAATTATTTAATAAAAAGAAACAAAAAATTAAAAAAAAAGAAACCAATGCTAAAAAATAAAAATATTTAAGAGAAATGAAAGTGCGCCTAGAATCCGAAGCAAAGCAAAGCTAAAGCGCAACTAATATAATATATAAACATACTCTACAAAACATACACCAACACATACACAGACACATACGCATGAAGAGACAAATTATATAAGAAGTTTAGAGAAATTAATTTAAAAAAATGAAAAACCGAAAATTTTGACAAAAAAAAAAAAATAAGAACGAAACAAAACAAATGAATAAATTAGCGTAGTTACAAAATAAGCAAAGATACAACAACAACAACTTGTGGAAATTTTTGTGGGGCAAGCGGTCAAAGCGAATAAATAAAAAAGGAGAAAAACAAAAACCAAACACAATTAATATAATTGTTTATATATATACAAACCAACCACTCACACATATACTATATGGAAATTCGATTATATAAATAGAGCTATAAAAAAGTCTAGACGCTGGTTAACGGAATAACGGCACGTGGCATGCCAAGCCATGCTCTGGCTACAGGGTATTTGGCAGTCTATCAGCGAAAGAACGGAATACGATTTGTTATATGTGAAGTAAGAGTTTATATAAAAAAAAAAAACTAAAACTAAATAAATAAAAATAAATTAAATATTTATGCTTTGTGTGCATTTTAAGCGCCCCCTCCAGAACACGACGAAAATAACAACAAAAGCAAATCAACCTAAATCTCACACTAACACACACAGCGCCACGCCCACAAATTTGAATGTTTGTAACGTGTTAACACGGCACAGCCTAAAAACAACAAAGAACTAAAGCGAAACAAAATGGCGGCACGCCCAAGGCAGTAGCAGTATAACAGTATTGTGTTTCATTTATCGTCTTCAATTCTCTCTCGTATAACTTACGCTTAACACACACACACACACATACACGTACACTGCAAAAAAAGTTGGGGTGTGACTTTGGCTAAATGCGAAACTGTGAAAAAGAAAATCTGCTGAATAGATGTTCAGCAATTCAGTCAACAGTCAATCAATCAGTCACACCCCGAAATATATAAATTTATTGCCTGCCTCAGTGGAAAACCAACAAAATTTCGACTCATTGAAAAATTTGTAAAATAAATGTGCTAAGCATTTTCTACAAATCGATCGATCAGTCCGTTAGGCAGTCAGTCAATCACATAAAAAAAGAAGGAAACAATACGCCGCTGCTTTTTCAACTATTTTTTTGATTTTTTTAACACAAAAAAAAAAGTTTTTTTGGTTAATGATTTCCAATGGGAAATTCATGGCATGTTAGTTATGACAAACGAAACAAAATTATTATTAGTTGTTAACAAATTATATTGATTAATAATAAAAATAATAATATAATAATGAAGATAATAACAATGCATATTGTTGTTGATGTGAAACGAAAATAAAAACAAAAATTATATAAAAACTCATAACTCCAACAAAAAATATTTATAAAAATTCTATAAAAATAAACAAACAAAATATACCTTGGATCGAATAGCAACAAGCAGTTATGGCATAACATTTGCATACGAGATAATATGTAACAACAACAACAACAACAAAACAAAAACAAAAAATTGATAAACATGAGAGTAAACATTTTTAATTTTTTGTTCTTTCGCCCTCCGCTGTAAATGTATTTGTAGATTTAAACAATGATTAAAATAAAAAACTACATAAATAAAACTTAAAAAAAAAAAAACAAAATAATTGTATTTCTTTTAGTAACAGAGTTAAGAGTAAATAAAGCATAAAGGGGGAGTGAGTGAGAGCAAAAGAGTGAGAGCAGCAACCCTAAACACCCATTGGTTACTCAACCGATTGATCCCGCTATGTCGAAAGTGAGTGAGGTGTGCGTGCTCTCAAACGTAAATGTGTGCGTGGATTCGTCCGCTTAGCACAGAAGACGAAAGTAACTGGGCAAATTAGTCTGTGCGCGTCTGCCCAGTAGATCAGTCGTAGAGGAGCGTAGTTATGCTGTCTATTATATGTGTATGTCTCCATGTATGTGTGTGTATATGCTGTGATTTATTGCGCTAACAAAGTGCTCTAAAATGGCACAGGAATAGAGAGGAAATAGGAAAGGGGGAGAAAGCTTGATAAATTCACAGCATTGTGCTCTGTTGCTAACACACACGTTAACATAAATACATCTATATTTAGCCTATTCATCCTTTTGCTCTCTCTCATTTCATGTGCCTGCAGATGCAATATAATTTTGTCAATGCACTTGTAACGAAACATTCCTATAGATATTGATTATATTACACTTGACACTTAGTAGAATATAAATTAAACTTGCATGTATTTTAAAATAGATATTTTTTCATTATAATTATAATTAATAATATATACCGAGATCTTATTAGGAAAGGGCATTCAGTATTCACTGCGCTGACAAAGTTTTTACTTTAAATTTTTGTTTCCCTTTGCTTTTTGTTGCTGTTGTCCTTTTTCTGAATTTGTTTGCAAAGGGTCGCTTGGGTCTTATTAATTTCCGTTTTGCTTATTTATTTTGATGATGTTTCGCGGGTGTTTTCACTTTATTTTAATTTTTTTTTACTTTGGGCACAGTTGAGAAATTGCGTCAATCCAAAAACCTTAAAAAAAGGTGTGCTCGTATTTAATAAGTGTCTATAGCTCTGATAATTACAGTTAAGCAGACAGCAAGTACAATTGCTCTAAAGCATTGTAATATCTTAAAGATAACTGTTTTAGATAAGGCTATTACTCCATTGACGTGGAGGCGCAACTTTAAGTACTGGATATACATTTTGTATTTTTTATGAGACTGAAATTAAGGTTATAAAAAAAGAATGGGCATTTTAAAAATTTGAAAAACTTTTTTTTAGCTAGTAGGTAGAGAAAAAATGATTTATCTACAAAAAATTATATCTTAAAACATTTGTAAAATTGAAATAATATATAGTCTAGAGAATAGACGACTCGTTATAATAAAAATAAGAGTTACCAGACAGTCTTACAGCTACCATTTGCTATGTTGCAATGTATTCATTAACTGAAATTCTCAAATTCTATTCCTACTACTACTACATTACCAAGTTACATTTCAAACTGCATAGGCTGCAGCGACGTAGCGCACACGCGAAATACGAAAAGGAACAAGACCTCTTTTCCAATAGACTTAACACGGGCGTCAAAAACTTGCGAGCTTGCTTGTCTAAGAAGCGGGAGGGGGAGGCAGGCCACTGCTCAAGCCCACTGCTCATTCCACATGTTGGCGTGGCGGCCCCCTCGCACACAATGCGCGGCGGAGACAGCTGCATTGGGAGAGCGCACTAATAGAGAGTGGGCAGCATAGAGAGAGAGAGAGAGAGAGAGAGAGAGAGAGAGCACTGTGCTGTTATCGCTGCGCGTGTTCCATTGCCAAAACGTTTCTTATCCTGTGCGCCTGTGTTTTGTTCGGCGTTTTGTTATCTATGGCCGCGTTTCATGTTCAGCCATTTGTAACATTCGTCTGCGACACGAAGCCGTGCTCGTTTTCGTGTTCAGCTTCGGCTACAGCAGTCGGCCAGTGGGTTATTCGGCCTGTAGTGTTCGGCTCGGCAGCGGCGGCAGCGACAGCGATAGCGACAGTCTTTCATTATCCGGTGCACGAGCGTGTCACGTTTTCGCATGATACGCAACGAACGACGCAGCCCAAAGCAACAACAAGAACAACAATAACAACCATTTGAAACAACAATAATAACAACAACAGTGAATGATAAAAGCCGTTAACTGTGCTTCTACTATTTTTAGTAGTGCCAAACGCTGCGAGTGCTTTACTATTTTTACTACAAGTGAGAAAAGTTAACCACGCACACGCACACACACACACGCACACACACGCAGGCATACCGTTAAAAATAACAACAACAAAAGAGCTTTGAGCAAATTTTGATTGGTTCAATTTCGGGCATACGTTTGGTCAAGTGTTTGTGCGTGCTTGCGTGCGACAACAACAACAAAAACAACAACTGCAACAGTGCGTGCAACCAAAACTAGGCTAAACAGCCTTTGCATACTTTTGGGCGCAAGCATAAGCCCAGGACATACACGCAGCGCGAGAGCGAGAGAGATAGCGAGAGCGTGAGGCAGGAGAAGAGCTCGCAGGTCGCCGACATTTGAACCTGCTGACCGGCAGGCAGGCAATTTGTATTCTCCCTGTTGTTGTTGTTGTTGTTGTTGTTGTTGTCCTGTCTACAATTCATATATATACATATATATACTTTACATATATACATATATATATATATAACTGTGCTTCTTTTTTGGCAAACGTGAGATGAAAAATGTGCAATAACACGTCAGCAGCAGCCGCAGCAGCATCAGCAACAATAACAACAACTAGCAGACTCAAGTGAAACAGACGCGAACACGAAGAATAAAAAAACATAAAAAAGAGTTCAGCTTGCTTCGACGGTGCAGTTCAACAGCCCTTGGGGCTCAGAAAAAATAAAAACGCCAATTTCGTCTTTTTTTTGGCCAACTCTGCGGCCGAGGCT